GTAGAGGAGCTAGTGGCGGAAGTCCGGACGCATGTCAACAAGGGGAAGGAAGTTCCCGGATTTGCGTCGTTCATCACGTCTCTGCTTGGTCTGCGGTGCATGATCAGGAGAATAGCGATCGAATTGGCGATTGGGCTTGGCGCGCCGTTTACACCTGATCCGGATACGTTGACGCGGTATGCGCAGGCGGTGGATTATATCGCGTCGCTGAACAAAAAGGGCGAGGAGGGGATTTTTGACGGGTGGTGGCTTGTACATGTGGGGCATGTGCTTAGTAGCGTGATGAGCAGCTTGATCCGGCTGAGCTTGGCGACTATGGCGAGTGAAGGGGAGGATGCGCCAACGCCGTCGTTCGGTGGTGGAGATGGGGAGGCGAAGAAACTGCTCCCTGTGCCACCGTCATTGAATCCGATATTCTTGCTTGCGCGGTTGAGAGTGGCATTGCAGGAGGCGCGGGACAAGTGGCATTGGGATTTGGCAGATGCGGCGCTAGCGCGGGCGGATAATGTCGCCAGGGTGTTGGGAATCTTTTGGAAGGGGAAAGCGAAATAGAGGGCGGTGGTTATGGACTTGTCGTGAAAGCCTTGAAAGGGGAATGGGCGTCGCCGAAGCTTGTGAATGTACAGGCCGGGGGCAAGTGCAATATTGATTTGTCCACACTGGGGACGCATTTGGATTGGACGGGCTTCCAAGGGTTTGAGGGAATGCAGCATGTGGGAGATGCATATGGGCAGGGGTGGAGTCCGGACTATGGGGTTGTATCGAGTTGAACTGTACGATTCTTATTGTTAACGTTATTACTGTTCTTTGCTTTCGTTTCGTGGTGTAAAATCGCTCACCATCATTCGATAAGGTCATCTATCGTTATCGTCGTGCTTGTTTGATGAGTTCACCGCGCTAAGAAGCTATAACTGGGTGGGCTTACTGGAAACGTCAGGGTAATGAAGATATACTATCATATAGAACTGACCAGCATGCTATCATGAACCGTCATTGCGGTATGGTGATATTCTACATGAGGGAGGCGCTCCGGATTAAGCTGCAATGAGATTTCAAGAGCCAGAAAGGATTGCGAGGTGGGATCCTGGTCAAGTGGTATCTGTACCAGTTCTACTCAGCACGGAAATGTAGTCGGATTACCGATACGAACATCTAGGAAGAGGCAAAGAATTTTAAGAGTAGTAGCATGGAATTGCGTATGATATGGCTCAAAGGATACGTGGAAAACGCGTTAAATGGCGCGAGAATAGACGACGAACGCGAGCTTGTAGGTGAAAATAAGCTGTGCCTATCGTGGGAAATGTACACTAAATTTGGATGAGTACGTAAGCTTTAGTTCTAATAGCAACTGTCCTCCTACCCTCATCATGTTTCTCAGTCCTTCCTCATTCCAACACAGAGACGCGCTGAATGTCAACATCGCCATTTGCATTGAGATGACTTGATACTTTAACCGTGTACAGGCCTCTTTGACGCGACGCATAGTAGTCGCATACAAAGCTCCTTCCCGCGTCCAGTGAATGAGGTCCGTCAATTCTGCACGTAGTAGACCATATGGTTGGACTGCTTTTGAATTCGACAGTGATCTTCCGGATGAACGTTGTCTCCCCGTAACGCCTTCAACCTGCAGTGTTCCTTGGATATGGGTCCCTTCTTGATTGAGCCATTCCTCTTGCTCTAATGATCTTACATCTTGGCCTTGAGGTAAGGTACTGCTCGCAGCGTCACTTCCGCGCTCTAATTTAACGCATATATTAGGCTCATAACAAACTCAGGCGAATCGCTGATTTTCTGACCAGTTTCCAAGTTCGCGATCGCTTCATCTGTCTCTCTTCCGTCTGCAGCTTTGCTTCCGTGGCATCACACGTCAGAACCTTCGGCTCTTGCCAAAGAGGCATCAATTTGAACTGATTGGGCCGTGTCTCATTGTGATTCTACGGGCTACAGGGCTGTTCTATATGAACGTAAAGCCGTTCAACATTCAATACTTCTCTAACTCAACGCATATATTAGGCTGCGTTGAACTCAGAGTTGTACCAAACCCAGCGAATCGCTTATGATTAGTTTCTGTGCCACGCGGCATTCTTTTCCGTTATCGTCGCGAAATTGACGGATGGCTGCGGTAGCTGTCAGTGATCGCCATGCGCGTACCGTAGATCGACGCCAGTCCGTTATGCATTTATGCTTTATACAACTATCATCATCATCACCGTTGTCGACGTTGTCGCTGTGTAACGTCTACTTTCTCGCGTCAATATCCGAGCAGTGGAGCCTTGGACCTTTGAGACCAGTTAATCTCGCGTCAACGCCGTCGACTTCGATCCGAGTTCAGGAGCTGCCTGTCCTCCGTCGAGGATCCTCGCTCGGGAGCTCCTAATGGCGGCAGTCCTCCCTTGACGCTTTGCTCTATACCACCACCACCGCCTGTCAGGCTTTGTGCTTTAGGGTAAGAGGTTTCCTCATGTCATCGTAGTAGCCTGCTAATTGTATTCGGCAGTCGACATTCATTCACGACGTCCGTTGACGCCACACGGTCTTCTCTCTGTCCAGCTCTCCTTCTTTGTTGTTCTTCGTCATGTACAAGCCACTCACCAACCACCGCCGACCCCCCAAACAAATTTTCTTCCTGGTCTGCCTCACGGTCTTTATTGTTTGCATCGGCTACTTGCGAGGCTTCTCTGGAGCCCAGATGACGAACATTACGTTCAAAAGTGTCACAGTCGTGCAGAGCAATACGCCTCCCTCCGGGCCTATCGACGTGTCGAACGCCGACTTTCAGCCGTTGAAGGCAAAAGAGTTTGGCCGGCCTGCGGTTCCTCCCCCACCCAAGTCAAAGGCTCCGTCCACACATACTACTGGGAAACATCGGTTCCGCTCCAACGGACTCGTCTCGGTATCTCCCGATCCAGCTACCTCTCACCCATTCCGGAAATTATCGCGTACGCTCAACGCAAGTGGGACGGAAAGCTCAAGAGAGCGAGTAAAACCTTACATCAGGCCGTCATCGAGTACGAACGGCGTTATGGCAGAGCGCCGCCCTTGGGTTTCGACAAGTGGTGGGCATACGTCGAAAAACACAATGTTCAACTCCCTGACGAGTACGACCAAATATCTCGGATCTCGAGCCGTTCTGGGGTACTCTCCTAAGGATTTGGGGCGTATCGAACTGGAGTTCGAGGCGCACCGGGACTCGTACACGCTCGGCAAGGAGGCTGGGGGCATCATTAAGATGGTCAACTACTCTCTCCCGGAGGAACTCTTTGGGCCTCTTACGGACGGCGCGATGAGCGTTATAGAGAGCCTCGAAGACGTCGAAGAGTTCATCCCGCGTTCAGGGCGGTGTTTTTACCTCATGATAATCCGGATCAACCTTTGACTGGGAACTGAAGCGGACCGCCCTTGAGCACGCAGCCGCTGGAACGTGTAAGTATTTTGTTTTCCGTTCCCATTTAATTCGCTAACTGTTTTATAGATCTCGATGCATACAATCCCCAGGTATCCATGAAGTATCATGGTTGGCTTTCGGCATGCGCTCCGCTCAGTCCAGCGTGGAAAGATCCCATCGACTTCAACGCGGCCCTTCCCCCTCCTTCGCCCGTCTCCACGACGAAATCGTTCATCTTTGATCATCGCAAAGCCATGGACCCGTGTCAGCACCCGTCGCTTCTTCGCCACCACGGTCAATTCCTCCCTTTTCACAAAGGCCCCTTCGCCAAGTCGTTGCTCATTCCGAGCTTTTCGTACTCGCCGAGCGCGATGCACCAGGACATTACGCTTGCTCACACGATAGCGTGGCGGGAGAATACAACGAGTCGCATGACTGCTCATGGGAAGAGAAGTGGGACGCACGGCTGGAATGGCGTGGTATGAACACGGGTATCTGGGCTGGGGGCGACCATGAGTGGCGCAGTGCTCATCGGGCGCGTATGGCGGAATGGGCTACGCGCGATTTCGACACGAATTTGACGCTGTTGAACTGGATGGACGGGGAGGGTGACAGGGAGACGTTCATCACCGTCTCCAAGGCGCGTTATGCACCTGCGATGCTGGATATCGGGTTCACAGGACCGCCTTCCCAGTGCGCAGAGCATGTATGTTCCGCGCTCGAGGCGCTGTACCCATTCAACGTCATGACGCACACGCCCGCGGAGGCTTATCGGTACAAGTTCATTCTGGACGTGGACGGGAACGGCTGGTCTTCCCGCTTCCACCGGCTCATGTCCACGCGGTCGCTGATATTCAAGAGCACGGTCTACGCGGAGTGGTGGCTTGACCGTGCGCAGGAGTGGGTGCACTATGTGCCGGTGCAGAACGATTATAGTGATTTGTGGGACGCTTTGGTGTGGTTTAGGGGTGGGCTTGACGGGGAGGGTGCGCATGATGCAGAGGCGAAGGGATTGCGTATGCGGGGAGTGAGTGGGCCAAGACGTTTTGGAGGATGGAGGACATGACTGCTTATAACTTTAGGTGAGTTTGAGTCGGTCTGAAGCATTGAATGGGGAGGCTGACGAGTGCGCAGACTGTTTTTAGAGTACGCGAGGGTTATGAGTCCGGATAGGGCTGTGATGAGCTATAATTACTGGGACGACGGGGTCGCTGTTAAATAGATGCGTTGAAGGGTGTATTCATTTGGTCTCTGGTTGTTTTCGCTTTACGAGTTGGGTGTTGTACTAGCTGTATTCATTCGTTTTCATTTGGGCGTCCGGGAGCTTGCTGCTTGCTCCGGCCTTGTATCAACTACACTTTTAGATTTCTAATGGAATGTGTCGTATAATAGAGACTAAACTGACGCGTATTCGCATGAATTTCTCAATCTTCGTGGTACAGGCTCTTCCCGACCTCTTCATCGCGCACTGGAAGGGCCAATTCTTGGGCCACAATATCCAGACTTCAGTGAAAACGGCACATGCTCCGGATGCATGAAGGCCTTGCAGTGCAACTACAGTCTACATACAGTGGAAGGGCAGACGACGGACAAAGTCGGATACCCAACCCTATCAGCATTAATGGGGTAGTGGTAACCTGGGTCGTTGCCATTTGTGTGTTGGGATTTCGACCCGCCGGGGGTTCAATTCCCCTTTAATGCATTTACTAAGGAGAGGTTAGTCTGATTTTTGTTCCTTCCTACCATGACCATTGCCAACCGGGCAGCGGCTTCAATAACTGCGGTGGCGCAGTAAACCTACGCCCCCGGTAAGTAACGGTTAGTAACCTACCCGCCTCCCGAGGCGCGGTTTTGAAAAGAGAAGAGAAGTTGTGATACGCCTCCGTCATACAAGTGACTAAGGTTGATACCGTTACTTACCGGCACGTGATTTTTATCATGTGACTAGCGCGCGCTGCCTCGCCCGCCGTCCCGTCCCCTGCCGCCATCCTTCCTGTTCCCCAGCGGCGTCCGCACACCCTGCAAGTCGCATGATAAAGTCATGTGAATGGTAAGTAACACCCTCCTCAAGGTGGCCTGTTACTTACCAGTAACTTACCGGTCCGAAACCCAAGTGTATCAAAACTAAGGGTTTACTGCGCCACCCTAAGTAAACCTCCGCCCCACACTTTCCCCACTCGAAGGATTCCATCCGCTCTACAGAGAAGCAGACTTCGAAATATGCTGTCGCTGTGACTCGAAAGTCAATGTCGGGCAGGAAACGCAAATTCTCCCAGACATCCTCCTCAACGGATGACGACTCGACTTCTACGCAGAGACGTCGCAGTCCGCGCTTCACATGCTCATAGTTGTGGATCGTCGTACAACAATCCTCCATCTCCTATATACTTATCTACAGTTCTCTGTCATACTCTCGCAATTCGGTTTCAATCAACTGCATCGTATCTTTTTAACTCCGTGAGTTTTCAAATACAATAAACAGCGGGGCGAGCAAGTGCCATTCGACCTTCTGGAACCGTGTCTGCTGTTACGCTGTATGTCTATTCGCTATCATTGTTACTGTTTTCCCGCCGTCTGAGTCTTTCGCGAGGTCAAGAGCGATTGCGCACTAATAGGAGACCAATGCCTCGAAACAAGGGAAGCCTTCCACGAAGCAGTGGTCCTCGGGCTCGTTGCATGGAAGGAAGAAGGAGCCATACTGTAGTATTTCGACCGTAGGTTCACAAGGTGTGACCTGTGACCTCGTGAACTTGTTTAGTGGGATGTTCACAGCAGATACACTACTGTGACCCACTGAAAATAAGTTTACTAAAATTTTCAATGACAGGGTTATTTTACAGATTTTAGGCTGAATCTCAGTATAATTAGAGAAAAATGTGCTATTCTAGACCTAAAATACACCGAAAAGGAGAAAAATCCTATAAAAACTGCCACTAAGCTTAATTTGAGAGCAAAAGTCCGATTTGTGACCAATTTGTGGCAGGTTCACAGCCAAAAAAAACTAGTGACCTGCTTATGTAACAGGTTCATTTTTCGGGCTCGTGACCTGTGACGTGAACCTACGGTCGAAATATGACAGTATTGTTTAAATGAAACCTGCACAGGACTTACAGTATAAAATATTGACGTAATTCGAGACAATGGCACTTTATGAAGTACTATCTGCTTAACAATATCATATCAGCGCATTTCTCTGCCATAACTACCGCCAATGCCATGGGATGCGCCGCAATGATGTCCGGAGACACGGACGTGTTGCACACCCTCAGCCCATCCACCCCGTGCACCCGCAGTTCATCGTCCACTACGCCAGGCGACTCTGCATCATTCAATCTCGCCATCCTACACGAGCTCGAATAATGATACGTCGTCCTCGCATGCTCGCGCATGAACGCTTCAATATCCTTGTCCGACTCGCTCTTTGGCACCAGGAGCTCTCCCTCGAACGGATACCCTTGCTTCTTCATCTCCTCTGCCATACGCAATGAGAGCCGTACGCCCTTGTACATCGCGCCAAAGTCTGCCGGGTCAGACATCATCCCGATGTCGCAAAGTGCATATTCCGCCGGATCGGCTGATTTGAGGCGCACGGTGCTGGTGGACTTGGGATTGAGAAGCGTGAGGAGGAATGAGAAGGTGCCTTTCGGGACGACGAAGTCCTCTCGGGGGTCGACACCATCGATGGGGATGGGGGTGATTTCGATGTCGGGGATGTTCCTCGGGTTACTGACGTCGATGTCGCCGGGAGTTGGCGCGGAGGATACCTGACCAGTGGAGGATATGAGTCGGGAAGGGAGGAACATTGTTACGGCTAAGCCCAGGGCTCGGACATGATGCCGCCTCCGGTGACAAGGTATTTGACAATTTCGATGGCTGCGCGCCAGGGCTTGGCGAGGAGGATACGCAGAGAGTCCTCAACTGGGGTGCTCCAGACAAGCGGTAAACCAATGTGGTCTTTCTGATAAAACTTTCAGAGTACTGAGCATATGAATGAAATAGGAGCGTACAAAGTAACTTCCGACTCCTGGGCTATCAAAGACGACTTCAATGCCATGCGAGCGGAGGTGTTTGGCTGGACCGATGCCACTAGCGGTTGGAGGATATGTTAGCCTCGAAACAACCTAGTAGAGTAGTGTGCTTTACCTGAGCATTAAGACTTGTGGGCTCCCCATCGCCCCACAGCAAACAATGACCTCCTTCCTTGCCTTGGCGAAGAAAAGCTTTCCACCCTTCTTTGGATCCGCACTCATAAATTCGACGTCAATTGCAAGCGGACGCCCATTGCTCCCTTTTTGGAACACGACGCGCTGAACGAGGCTCTCTGGGCAGATCTTCAGGTGTTTCTTGCGTGCCTCGGCGACGTTGCGGGGAAGGAAGGCATGGAAGACGGAGACACGCTTTCGACCATGATTCTGCAACACGTCCACGTCCCAGATGCAGATGGCGGGTACGGAAGGGTCGTTGAAGTCGGGAACAGAAGGTATCCCAAGACTGTAGGCAGCGGTCTTTGCGCTAAAGAATAAAGTTGGTTGATTGTTGGAGATCTGACAGATAAATATGTACGTACCAAGAAATACTGCGATACAGAGAATTAGGAAACTTTTGGTTCACCCATGGTCCTATATACAAGATAAACACCAGAAGAATCTAAGAACTAAATCCGCTTACCAGTTTTACCGCGAAACTTTGAAGCTGGATGGCTAAACGACGTCTCTGATTTGAGGAAATGTGGCAACATCTTCTCATAGCCCCACTCCGGATGACCCATCTCGGCCCAACGGTTGTAGTCTCCGGGGACACCGCGATTGTACAGCATGCCGTTGATACACGAGCCCCCTCCCAGGCCTTCGGCGCGCACCATGATGACTTCGCGCTTGTTGCCATGGGCGAAAGGAGCAGACATCGTCTTTTTCGCGAGCGTGTCTGGGCGAAGTGAGCCGGAGATTAAAGGTACGCTGTTTCCCCATGTATCTGCGATTGGGCCACGTTCAAGAATGAGAACGGACACGCCGGAATGTTCGCTGAGTCGGGAAGCGAGGACAGTGCCCGCGGTTCCACCTTGAAGACGATGTAAGTGGTCGTGGCCTATATGAAAACTAAAGATGGAGTTCACAAACCTCCGACAATAACGTAGTCATACGTGAAGAGATCGTCTGCAGTCGAAGGCACCAGGAAGACCGCCAACGTCTTCAGGGCGCAGTACTGGATATCCAGAGTCGAAGGGCCACATCGTTGAGAAGGTTGTCCGACCCACAAAAGTCGGAAGTTGAAAGTTACAGACAGAGTTTTCGGTTTATATCTGCTCAATGGGCGTCTTGATGCATCAGATGCACAGAATTAGAAGCAGATGGACATGCCGTGATGAGGCTAGCCGGAAGATGACGAGGATGCATATCAAAAACGCGGACGAACCGTCCGTTCCTGGGATATAACTTGGAATGGCTGATTGATGGCTCAGTGATGGTGGAGGTGAACCAACCGTGAGAAGTCAGGCCGCTTTTAGACGACAAATATCAACACGCCATCATATCACGCACAAACACTTACTGATCAGTGAGGTACGAGCTGATCGAGTCTGTCTAGGGGAGACTAAGTATGAGTATGAGTTGGGGCTGACCACTTCTGTCGCCTATTTAGCCACAGTCATGACGTCCAGAGATGTCAAGCTGGGAAGGGAAGGGAAGGTTCAACGTTCATTCTCTAACAGGGTTAGTGAAGCTGATCGATTTTTTGACGCTAGGGTTCTTGGCTACTGACTTCCATTTACAGTGCACATACACTGGCACCTGTTCTTACTACATTTTTTGTGAAATTTAGACTCTGCTTGTCTACGCCTAATTTGCTTCTGAAAAGGGCGAAGTATACGCCTTTTCCTGTTCAACATCTGGAAGACTGTCAAGCCGGAGAGACCGTGCCGTGGGGTTTCCTGTACCTCACCCTGTGCGCGTGGGTCACATAGCCACATACTGTTCTGCTTGGAGATCCCCGACTGTCTGAAAGGCATCACGGAATACTGTACCGTTTCAACCGTTAATTCGGATATCGGGTCACGGACCCTTGCGAAGCGAAGCTATATATATAGCATATCGCGTCACGGTCGAAATTTTAAGGCACAGATCGCCCAAAATGGAAATTTTCGGGCCCGCCTAGCGGCGGGATATCCAAATTGGGTAATTCCCGTGTCCGTGCCTGGAAACGAAGCTGTTCGCTGTAGGTTCGCAGCATATCACGTCACAGACCGCGAACCTACGGTCGAAACGCTACAGTATCGCTTGCAGGTGCGATTCAATTCAAGAGCTAAGGCAACCATCTCTACCGGTTGTTCTAGACTAGGAGGATGCCTCGAAGTCCTAAAGACGTGAATCTGCCATGATGAACTGAACAATACTTCTGAAGTGCTGTCAGACCGGTTGTTACAGCAGTAAACGATGGAGCGTACACATCAAATGGTTGTAGTGACTGTCCGGTTAAGGGGTCCGGCGATGTTAACCTCCTCCTTAAGGCACTTGAGGTAAAGGCAGTCACTGATGTTACTTGCATGTCGAGACAACTTGAATGAGCTATCCTTCATCAGGAAACGGGTCATCAGCCTAGAGGACCACTGAGTCAACCATGGTGAACATGGTTGCCTAGAGGACATCAGGGTATGAACTCTGCCTAGTTAACTTTGGCAAAGGTTCAACCCCAAACCTTCATTGAGGG